CACCCCCCACCCCCCCCAAAAAAAAAATGTAAAACGAATGCAGCCGCCACTTAAGGACTGGTAAACTGCAGCATATTCAATTTTTGTTTCGGGGTTTAGATGTAATCTTACTGTGGGATTAGAGGAAAGAAAACGGATACCCTTATGAAACATTAATGACTGTATGTGGGGGGAGGTGCCGCTAGTCACATGACTAATGATCAGTATATATACAGGAGCTAGCACTCTATTCCATGTATCTGGGCTCTGTGCTGGTGACACATGACTGATGGTGACTTCTCCTGATAATTCCAGATCCGATTCTCATCTCCAACATAACCAGTAACTGCAGCCGGCTGGGTCAGGACATCGCTGTGAGCGTCCAGTACTCTGGAGAAGAGAGCGCTGTGACCTGGGAGGTGGACGGGGAGCCTCTTCCTGAGAGATACCGGCTGATAGATGACAATAGGACGCTGATTATCCCCAGTGTGCAGAGAGACGACGCCGAGAGGACATTCCGGGTCAGGATCACAAACCCGGTCAGTGAGGAGACCCGGGACCACCGGCTGGAGATCAGAGGTAAGAGGGGCAATTACTGGGGTAATAATCTGATCTGTATAGAAGAAGGATCATAATGTGACACAGAATAGTAACATTGTATCATGTTGTCTCTTCTCTGCTCTCCTAATGGAGGATTATACAGGTGAGATGTCACATGACCACCGAGAATACAAACTGATACATTGTATATATATATAACATGTGTATCTAAATCATTTATACATTGTGAACATTGCATTCACTTTCTCACAGATTCCGATTCATATAGAGGAAGGCCGGGTCTCATTGTTGGTCTCGTTGTTGGTGTCTCGGGAATATCGGCAGCAGTGATTTACATCGTATATCTGGTAGGTAATATTTCATCTTCTTACCTGTTAGCTGGGCTCACACTGAATGTACTAAGGCAGGGGCCCCAAACTTTATAAACAAAGGGCCAGTTCACTGTGGTCAGTAAGAATACATAAAATGTCCCGGCATCCGTGGAAGTAACAAATGGTCCTCCAGCAGTGGTCAGTGAGAGTAATAAATGTTCCTAAAATGGTGGCCAGTGGGAGTAATAAATCTCCTGTGTCTGTCCCTCCTCCGACCATCCTACTGTCTCCGGGGGGGGGGCTGTCCCTCCTCTGTACATCTTTTGTTTCTGGTGTGACCGCCCCATCTCAGTCCATCATAGCCAGAGTGTTGGTTTATCCTGCATAGGGCTGCAGCTAACAATTATTTTCATCATCGTTGGCAACAATTCTCATCGATTTAATCGATTAGTTGTTGCAGCTCTAATGCGGCATGCAGGTCTTTCTTACTCTGGAGGGTCAGACAACAGCAACCGGTCTTCAAAATGTGATCTGATCCTCACCAAATATCCAGAAAAAGGGGCGTGCCACTTATTTATTTATTTTTTCTTCATGTTTGATTCTCTTCTGAACAACCACATCCCTCCGGACACAGACTGCTCCTTTGACCTGTTCCCCCTGATGTAAGGTTTCCATATAGAGGACCTTTATGACCACCCAAAAATGAAACGCGTCAGGGACGAGCATTTGTCTTTCAGAAGAGAATAAAGTTTATATAGAAAAAGTGCTGCTGGTGTGGCTTTTTTTCCTGCTTCTTGGAAGTGAAAAGGATCCTGCTGGGCCTTTCAACACTCGCTGCCGGTTTTCACAAATTCAGTTCCTTTTTATACTGATATACCATATCTACAGTTTCCATATGTTTTAAATAATCCGTCTTATTGCTGGAGAAAAGTATGTGAACCCTTTTATTTTACTACTTAATGGAACCGCCATTATTGAGAAGAACCTTAACCAGATGTATTCTGCACCTTCAGAGCATAAGAGGCATTGTGCCCATTCCTGTTACAAATCTGTTTCAGTAGATGGTTGAGGTGTAAAGGTTTTCGGGCACAACTTGGAGTTAACAGCGCCATCAGATAATACAAGGGATGAGCTCTGAGGAAACAAAGCCGCTCCTTATCCTATTCCACTCTCCATGCTTCACAGTTGGGATGCAGTTTTCTTGCTGGCAGCAGTATTTGGAGAGCAGTGGTTCCCATGAACACCACCCTTGTTGAGTGTTTTCATTTTTCTACGGTAGATTCTAGAACATGGATATCAAGTGCCAGAGATACTTCTATAGACTCTGCAGCCACTGACTCCTGTCTGAGGATTGTAGTGTGCCATCTGTAGGAGACAGAATCTGTATATATTTGTACATTTTGTGTCTGTGGACTGATGAAGGTCTCTCGTATTTGAGATCTTCTGTGACACTTTTCAGTCTTTATGAGCTTTGATAACCCCCTGAAATGTAGTTGGATCAGGCCAACAGAATTCTCTTAAAGGTACAGGTAGCTGTAATGTTGGGAGATGTTATTATACAGCAGGGCTAATAAAATGATACTGGTCACTGGTTGGATTAGCTATAGTCCATGAACCCATCGCACTCAAAACCGCTGTTCCTTATAAAAGATGGGTGCTGCGGCAGTCGACGGATGGCAGTCGACGTCTATAATCACAGGATAACATAGACACCGGCACTCCAAGTATTCAATCAATGGCGTCTGTTTATTGACGCATGAAACATGGCACAATGCTTCAAAAAGCAACGTTTCGGGGTCTCACAGGATCCCCTTCATCAGGCAAAATGAGTGACGCCATGGACTCAATACTTGGGAGTGCCGGTGTCTGTTATCCTGTGGTTGGGTTCGCTGACTCCAGTTTTGCTCATGTTGCTATTCCCGAGGATCACATACTACTTCAGTGGCCTGGATTATGGAAATAATTTCTTCACTAAAGATCTAGAAATAAATATTCTGCATTTTGTGTTTATTGATTTCTGTGATAAATGTGAAATAACATTTTATGAGTCATAATTACAGAACATTTCCTGTCTGTTATCTCTCCCACATTGGTGTCCCGTGGTTGTCTGTTGGATGACTCTGCCCCCTTACTCGGTTTATTGGGGAGGTCATCTCCTGTGTGGGGGGGTCAGGAAGCTTCTTATAGGGGCAGGGAGCGGATGGCTGAATACTGTGTAGACAATGAATTCCTACAATGGAGTGTATGGAGGTGATCGGGGATGGGGTGAGGAGGTCTTGATGGGCTACCAGCTTGGCAAACACCTTGGTGGTCACATCACTGGTCACATCACTGGAGACAATCGGAGAGAGGATGAGGTGTTGCGGCTATAAATCCTGTGTGATCTGTGATGTTATCTGACCTGTTATTCCGGGTTTTATATTCTCAGATCCATTCCAGGAAGAAAGAGAAGAGCAATCTATATGACACGGAGAGCGGGGCTGTGACCACTCTACAGAACGGATCTTTGCCTCTCACCGCCCAGAGCGGATCTCTGTCCTCTATAGAGAATGGACATGTGTCTGTGACAGGATATGGACCAGTATCTAATGACCTGGCAGATCCAATTATTGATGAAACTGAAGAGAACGTATAGCTTGAAGATGGTGAATTGAAGATTTTTATTTTTATGCAGAACACTGGAAATGCTTACACATATTTGTACACGGTTACAGATTTTAAATTTGGCTTCTCTTGTCCTATGATCAGCACCCAGATCACTTGTGGCTGCCTGCTTGTTCCTTGCCTCACCTCCCCGCCATGGTTTTTGGGGTCTCCTGCTCTTCTGGGTCACCCGGGACCACGGTAAATGACTTCCGGATGAAGAGCGGGGAGCAGACCAGAGAACGTCGGTCTCTGATCTCCTCTGTGTGATCAGTGAGAGAGGAGCGCTGTACTCGCAGCTCTTCCTGTCTCAGCTGTCACAAGCCGGGCTGCACAGGAGATGAAGCACAATGCTGTGCTCGATGTTAGAGGACAGGCTCCATCAAGAGAACCTGTCACCTCCAAACGATCAAATGGCTTGTTGGCCCTGTGTGATGGCAATAAAGGTAAGTAAAAAAATATATAAAGTGATAAAAAAAACTAAAAACCAACCCCACCATCTGCATGCAAATGGACATTGTGTGTGTGTGCGCTGAGTGCTGCCCCATTTCACTGTGTGCCATATTGTGTTAGCCGGGCAGCAGCGCTCTCTAAGACACGCAATCTGCATTAATGGGTAAGGCTGGGCACACACCTTACAACCATCGCAAGACTTTTGTCTTGCGATGGTTGTAAGGTACTTTAAAAAAAACGTACGATCTGCCTATCTTGCATAGGCAGATCGTACTTGCGATGATCGCAAGCCACGCCCCCTGAGGCAGGGAGCACACCGGCCCGTACGGCTGTTATCGTAAGGACATGCCACAAACCCGGCAAACGTCGTACGATTTTTTTGTGTGTGTGTGTGTGTGTGTGTGTGCGCGCGCCATTTCACTGTGTGCCATATTGTGTTAGCCGGGCAGCAGCGCTCTCTAAGACACGCAATCTGCATTAATGGGATTAATGGGAACTAATTAATGGGAACTACTTTCCCAAGTAATTTTAGGAAAATGGAATAACCCGCTCAAATCTGCCCCCCCACACCATACTTTCCTTTTGGCGAACGTTCTTCCCTCTCTGCCAGTACAGGTGTACTATCCATACTCTGTACCGCCAGCCAGCTCAGCGCTGCAATAGTGAGTCTTCCTCCATTTTATATAACTTTCCAGTATATAGCTAGATGCAGAAATCCGCTATTTAAACCTTCAGTGTCACTGCCCCTCCCCCCAGATCAATAGATGATGAATGAGCATGAACAGAGCAATTATTAAATGGTAATGGTGTGTGTGTGTGTGTTGTAAACATATTTATAGATGTAAATATATTCTCATTGTAAATGTCGGCTCATCTCGGAATACTTGTAGTTGAATCTTCTTCAGACTTTCACTATGTTTTCCTTTTTTATCCTGAATATATTTTAGTATTTGTATATGAGGTGACTTGTATTCTATTTATACGCTTTATATGTATTGTATCCAGCAATCAAATGATCTTCAGATATAACGGGATACTTGTTCTTGGTGTGAAGGGACTGTGATAAGATGGGGACTGTGTAACGTTTATCTTCTATTACCAATCTTCCATCTGGAAGTACTAGGATGTGATGACACCGGAGTCCCCCTCTGTGTATGGAGGAGGGGTGCTCTTCTATTCTACATAGATGAATGGAGATGGACCTCTACTCCTCGCTGCTCCTGATTCTTCTGCTCCGTGTCAGGAGATGGGAGATGTATCAGGCGGCCATCATTGTCTGTATAGGAGGAAACCATTATTGTATTACAAAGTATAAGAGAACTTTTGCTGTAACGCTCCCCCCTCCCCCTCCCCGGTATCTGTAGCTGGAAAGATAATATAACTCCAGACCTCAATAAGCAGCAGCTTCTCCTTGTGTGTCCGGGATGCCTGAGGAGGGTGAAGACCAGGACGGCCATGATTCTGTATATATTCCCATATAGGGATACGGAGTATATAATATTGTGTATATAATCTGAGTCACTTCTATTGTTTTATTGTGTCAATGTGAAATGTTTTATAATAAAATGTACCAAGAAATAAAACCTTTCTAATGTTACATACGGAGGTTACATTGTGTCTGTGTTCTGAAATGGAAACTCCACTCAACCTGTGACCTTTGAGAATGAATGACGTCACATTACAGAGAGATCGGGGTTGTGTTGTCTTGAAGCCTTTTTACTGCTTTTATTTGGTACCCCGGGACTTTGACTGACCTGTCACTGATGGGTGCTTGATCATGTGACCACTGTGACACCCATATAGATACTTCCATCACACAATGGACCTGTATACACCCCAGTGCAGGGTGCTGGAGCAACCACTAAAGAATGTTCCCAGCACATCTTCATCCTTTGCTGTAGGACATTCTAAATGAACATCCATGGGGGCATTTCTTTCTGCAAAGTGCAACATTTTGGAGCCTCCAGGGGTCCCTGTATGGGGCAAAGTGATACTGCGGGAGGTGGCAGTAAGGGGTTAATGTTCATAGTCGGGACACAGGATCAGTTTAAGTAATTGATAAAGGAAGTGTGTGAGGAATGGTGACATAGTGTATCCAGCATCTGTCAGGGAAGTAGGAGGATAAGAATCCAATGAAAAGTAATAAACAGCGTTCGGGGATTAGGAGGAAGATATGCACAGAGGTCAGGACTAAGAAATGTAGCGGAGGGGTCGGAGGTTAAGTGACGCACAGAGCGGAGGGGTCGGAGGGTAAGTGATGCAGAGCGGAGGGGTCGGAGGTAGTGACTCACAGAGCAAACGGGTCGGGGGTAGGTGACGCACAGAGCAAAGGGGTCAGGGGTAAGTGATGCACAGAGCAAAGGGGTCAGGGGTAAGTGATGCATAGAGCG